CCTAAACCAAACATAGATCTAATTTAAATTTTGATATGTATAACCTAACTTAAACTTAACCTACATTTACCTTAAACGTTATAACAACCTAACCTTAATCTTAAACGTTATTTCTTCTTCTAATAATTCTAAAAAGTTGAAAATAATGTAACAATGTTGTTCAATTCTTCTGATATGTTCACTGTTCGACATTTCACTGATCCATTTTTCTCATAAATGCATAAAATCCGCAGTTTAGTTACAAGTTAAAACCCGTTAAACGAACACACGGAACTGCTCCTAAAGGATCTTCAGTCGACTTCCTCGACACCGGAAGTTCCACCGCGAGGTCGTCGTTGAGCCCAAGGGGCGATCGAATCGTTTCCAACCGCCCCGAATTCGAGCAGTTCATTTCTCGCGGGCCGTTATGCCGTCGACGTTATGACGCAATCGAGCTCGCCGCTTATGAAGAAAACCTCGAGGCAATTAACGAGTCGTCGGCCATTTTGCTCGGGCAGCGCGGGAACGAACGTCGATTGCTCGAGTTCCCGGCGAAGAAAGTAACGAGCCGTTTAGCGGAACTGAAATTCTTCTCCTGCTAATTGTACGATTGTTTTTTGTCGGGGGCGCGTCTGTGTCTTTGCGAACGAAACCTTCGAAGATAACGCTCATGACTTCGTTAGCGGTTCTATCATGAGCAGAACAGAGGAAATGTAGTAAAAGGATTTTTTATTTTATTTTATGTCTGCAACAAATAGTCTCTTAGTGATTTTCTATATAGTTTATCTTTGTATAAACTTATCGGATATATATACGTAATATTTATGTNGTAATCCCAATAGATGTTTCACAGCGTAATAAAAAAAAACAGTACAGTTTTGTGTGAATGTTCTCTCGTAAAAAGAAACTGTTCCGAAAATCATGTGATTAAAAGATTTTGGTAACTGTTTACTAGGAGAAGTTGAAGTAAACGGTTACCAAAATCTTTTAATCACGTGATTTTCGGAACAGTTTCTTGTTACGTTTCGCGATTAATAGCAGTATTAATGCATTTTGTGATGGGTCCAATGCGGCTGCGGTTGAACTGAAACTTTCAACGATTTTTCACACATCTCCGATGATCTGGTAACAAAGTTACTAACAAAAGTTCATCAATATTCAATTTTCTACAAATTCAAGTATACCAAATTTCAGAAACAATATCTTTGTTATAAATAATTGCGATCATTTGTTTAATAACGCTAAATTAAACTAATTAAATTGTTTAATAACGCTAAAATAATTTCAGATACGATAAACGGGTTTCAAGCCCACCGTACCCGAAACGGAACCAACTCGAACGTAGGATTGACAATCACTGACCAGAAGTGACCAGTATATGTCTGCAACATGTGTTCGGTGCAGCGCGCAGTTGTCTGGCAATTCGTTTTCCGTGACTTAAATTATTTTCGCGTTGTTTCATAATTTCAGGTTATAGTATGGAGAAAATACCGTTGAATGTCTACTTCGAAAAATCCGTATATAATTAAAAGTTGCAAGGAAATGCACTTAAAATTTACGCGTCTCTGTTTAACGATCTAAGCTTCCATATAAAACAAGTCCCACATTAAACATTTCTAAACACTCGTTTATAAGCCTTGTTAAAGTTTAAATTCTTAAAAACCTAACATTCTTCCTACACAACATGCTTACATATTGTACATAAAAGTATATCAAGAATTTGCATTTTATAAATGGTTGTTAATATTCTGAATTTCGAAGTTCCAACGAATTGTCCGGAAAACAAAAAATTCTGTTCGAACATGAAAGTTGAAAAAAATTGAATTTTGACCACGAATTATCGTCTCTCGGACCACCGCTGATCACCATTGATACGGATTTCTCGAGCACAGAGAGCGACCTTTGTCGAAATTCCGCGATAATCTCGTATTCGCCGCACAGAAAAGAAAGTCTTATAATCTTCAGGCCTCTCGTCGTGGTCGCGAGTCTTCGGTCTCGGGGCCCGAATCGTACACTTTTCAAGCGAGTATTCCTACGGGGCTCACTTTCTTCTTGCTCTTCGCATCACCTTAAACCTGTTCCCGCCGCGGCGAACACTTCAGATTGTGTTGGAATACTATTTTTAGGAATATAATCTTCATCGCCGGCTCCTCACGTTCCTGCCCCGCGAGTTTAATTGATTCCTCTCATAATTTGTACGAGCTGCTATCTCTCGGCGCAGAACGTGGACGCCGTTTTCTATCGGAAACAAGCATTAGACAAATTCGTCCTGTGTTTTCAGTTGCTCTTTTGGTGGACTGCGCTGATTGGCAACAGGCGAACGCGAGGCTTCGGCTTCACCGTTCTACGTCCTTTGCAAGAAATAGCAGTTCAATGGAAATTCCTGTACTTAACAATTTTAATGAATTGGAGTTCATTGGAAATTCCTGTACTTAACAATTTTAATGAATTGGAGTTCATTGGAAATTCCTGTACTTAACAATTTTAATGAATTGGAGTTCATTGGAAATTCCTGTACTTAACAATTTTAATGAATTGGAGTTCATTGGAAATTCCTTCTCTTAGCCATTTTATTGAACCGGAGTTTAATAGAAATTCCTTTTGTTAACAATTTTAATAAAATGAAAATAATATGTAGCTACAGCTTTGAATTAATTAAATATTTGTTTTACTTTTTATCTTCGTTATAAATCTATTATAATACAGATTTATATCGGAATTTACTAAAATTTAAATATAAATTCGTAATGAGATAAAAGGAAGTATTTTTGTAATTTAATTTTTTTATAAGCATACTCAGTCGTATTTTTGTAATTATGTATTTTTGTAATGAGATAAAATAGTAACGAGATAAAAGCAAGTATTTTTGTAATTTAATTGTTTTATATAAGCATACTCAGTTGCATTTTTGTCGACAAGATCCGCCGTTCGAGCGTCGAACGCCGCCACTTTAGCGCTCAAAAAGCCTCAATAAAACGAACGACCGTGTAAAATACTACAAACAGGTTTGTTTGTCCGCGAAATTGGCTAGAAAATCGGCGCGGCAGGACGCAAATTGCGCGTCCGCCGATGGCCGAGTGGGCGTCGTTCAATTAAACGGAGCTGACACGCGTTTAGATCGACGAAAGGGGTAATTGACGCGCGAGCGTACTCACGGCTGTGCTCTGACGCACCTCGTCGCATGTCACAGGCGTTGCTCGCGCCGCAAACCAAGCGAAAACGCGAAATTTCAAGGGCGTGTCGTCGCATCTCACGGCCGCATGCGCTATCATCGCATCGACGACGCTCGCTCTGTTGCCTATTGCGTAAATAACGATTTTTCTGTTCCTCTAGGTCGCGAGAATCGCGCGGATAGATCTTGTTACGGTGGCGTCGATCGCGATCGTAGCCGGCCAAAAGTCGATACATGCAAGTCTAATTAGTATTGGGTTGGCAACTAAGTAATTGCCGATTTGTTCAATGAAATAAAAAATTTTTTTTTACTTGGAACGAAGTTTAATCTGTAATGTATTTTCCATTTTGTTCGACGACCTTTTGCCATCTCTCTGACAACTTGAAAATTCCACGCTCGTAGAAAGTCTGATCCTTTTCGGCCAAAAACTGAGTTAAGTGAGATTTTACAGCGTCATCATCGTTAAAAGTTTTACCACGAAGGGAGTTGTCCGGGGATCGAAATAAGTGGTGATCCGATGGCGCGAGATCAGGGCTATATGGTGGGTGTAACATCAATTCCCAACCAATATTCATCAATTTTTGCCGAGTGGACAAAGACGTGTGCGGCCTAGCATTGTCCTGCTGGAAAATGACACCTTTACGATTGACCAATTCTGGTCGCTTTTCCTTGACCGCTGCATTCAATTTGTCCAGTTACTAACATTCACGGATAATAAAAAATAACATAATAATAATAATAATAATTTTATAATATAACATTTACGGATATCGTAAAAATGGGAGTGAGAGACACCTATAACTGAAATCGGCAATTACTTAGTTGCCAACCCAATATTTGAATCTTATTTCATTCTACAGTGTGCCCCAAAATTATGTTACTTCCGGGAAATGTGGGGATCCTGAGGTCATTTGATGAAACTTCTTTCTTTACGAAAATGTTGTCCATGGCTTCGTTAACGAATTATTAGCGAAAAACGCGGGCCAATCAGAGAGCGAGTACGGCTGGCACGGCAATTACTTAGTTGCCAACCCTCGGTTCTAAATTCTAAAAAAGGAATAATAATAATAAAAGGACAATTATTATGTTGCATAATCTGACGTATTGGACTTTTTCCTTTGCGAAAAATTGTCAACTAGCATTAGTTTCCGAAATTTTCCCGGAGGAACTGTAAAACCTAACTCAGATCTAAATTGGGTTATAAGTTAAATAAATAAATTGTATTTAATAAATGTATAATAAAATTTGAATTTGAATTTATATAAAATTATACAGGAACGTGAAATTTACGGTGTCGATTATTGTAACCTTGTTCCGAGAGTTTCAATAAACATGAGTGAAGAGAAAAATAAACGTACCTACGGCTGAGATATTATACGTTAACCCTTAAATGCATGATTTCTTGTTTTGAATTTTAAAAAATCGTTTTTTATAGGAATGTAGTCATAGGTTACGTAAAAAATAAATAAAAAAATCTAGGTAATATATTGAGTATTTATTTTGAAAAAAAGTTGTATGTAGACTTTTGGCAACAATATGCGTTTATTACTAAAATTATTGTAAACGTGAACAAATGGTCATGTATTTATATTATCTATTAGTATAGGAATTTTCACATTATTTATAAATGAAATGCAGCAAAGCAATTGCGATTTTTGTTGTGACACAAAGCAATTTTTAAACTCGTAAAAAGAAAATATCTCTCCAAGTAACACATTGAAGGTTACACCACATTCAAATGTCAAAAAACATATAACTTACTCGCCAAAAGTAATGTCAAGTCTTTTATTTCTCACATGGTCTGTTGTCTATTGTTATCAACGTGTGTTCAGAAACGCACATACTCAGGTTTTTGAATAAAATTAAGTGGAACTGGAATGTAAACAATTGGCAACAATATGTATTTAAGGGTTAAAGTAGGTGCTCATTTCGCAGATATAAAATACAGTCTGTTTTGGGACATTTGACCCGCTGGAATAGCGATGATCGGTACCACTGGCAAGCCATGATATATCAATCGCAGTGCAGTCAAGCACCCGTTATTCCAGTGCTCTGGTATCCGAGCAATCCATTATCCGAACGAAGCATGTTCGAAGCTGAATATTCCGTGTTCTGCGTCGACATTCTTGCGCGACCGTCGGTGTTCAACAGACTGTCAATTCACAGTGGTCTGGGACGAGACGATGGTTGGCCAAAAATGAATTTCTCAACGTTAATTCTCGGAAGAAATGTTTCTTTTCATGAATTCGGTGTCTCTTCGGAACTTCGATACTTCGTCGTTGCTCTCATCAGATAACTCTGTAACGAAATGTAACGTTGTAAAGTTAAAATTTTGAGATTGAAGTTTCAAACATTTGGTTTAATTGCACGTTTTCGAACATTAAAGAGTTTTAGAAGAGTTTTAGAAAAACTGTTGAGAGTTGTAAGCATCGAACCTTTTTTTATACGAAAGCTTAAACAATTGTTAAGAAGAACTGCAACCTTCGCGTCTAGAATCAACCTTAAAATAATTTTAGCCCCACAAAGTGGGTTCCCGGACCACTCTGTGCGTCCTCGGGTGACGGGTCAGCCTGGACCCGGCGTCCCGCGTCAACACCGTCGAAGAAAGAAGAAATAACAAATATCCTCAAATTTATAACGATTCGAACTTTGGGAAGAGTTTTAGAAAAACTGTCGAGAGTTGTAAGCATCGAACCTTTTTCTATACGAAAGCTTAAACAATTGCTAAGAAGAAAATGTCAAGTTTAGGTGCAACCTCCTGCAACCTTCGCGTGCAGAATAATCTTAACAAATAAATGCGGACAGTATTTTGTCGCCTGTCTAAGCAATCGAAACGACCTTAAGATAATTTTGGCCACACAAAGTGGGTCCGCAGACCATTCTGCGCGTCCTCGGGTGACGGGCCAGCCCGGACCCGGCGTCCCGCGTCAACACCGTCGAAGAAAGTGTCGGCAGGCGTTTACGGCCGGTTAGATAACGTTTGCGACGGAATCGTAATTGCGTAGCAGGACTCGCGTGCCGCACCCACGCGGACCGAGGAACGCGAACACGAAATTCTTGACGATTTCATAACGGAGACCGTTACGCGTGGACGTCGATAATTGCGAAACGCAAGGAAAACGGACAAACGAGCGGCCGACAATTTCGCGTCGTCGTTCCTCATTCACTCGCCGCTGAATGAACTTTCTCCTTTTGTCACGTGTATCGGCCGTGTTCAGGCATTTCCATTTCGATCGTCCGGAATTCTCCTAGTTCTCGGCTTTCGCGGCCAAATTTATCGCCCGCTTCGGCAACCACCGGGCCACCTGTGTGATTCATGGGCTTTTCCGCCGAGATCCTTCATCCTCCGGTTTAGAGAGATCGTGTTCATGGATCCGGGATTTTTCGATCCTGCGATCGCGGACCCCGTCGCTCGACGATTGCGCACTGCCGAGACACCAGCTGGCCTTCGCTGGATCGTTGAATAGTTAATTGGAGACAGGCGACCCGTTGCCTCCGCTAATAACGCTATCTGACACCGACTCGAATAATTCACTAGGCAATACCCTGGGGAAAAGCTCCGCGCAGATTCCGCGGCCACGAAATCTTCGTTTCGTCCTCCTCCGTTTAGGAACTGTTTTCTGGTGTTATTCGATATAGGTAGAGAGATGTCTTCACTTCTGTATCCCCGAATTATTAAAGAACGCGAAATAAAAGTACAAGTGACTT